TCCTGCTGCTATCAGTGGAGCACAGCCAAGAAACCTAACCTACCCACCCCACCTCCAGGAGCTCAATACAGCTCATGAGCTGCTGAACTTACCCACAACATCTCACGTGCCTCTGGCTGAATAGGCAAGGAAGAGAAGAAAGTGAAGAGAGAGAGAGAGAGATTCAACAAAGCCAACAGTGACATTTCACCAACTTCCCCTCAATACAATCTTCTCTGAAATACATGTGTTCTGTTGACCTACCCACCCCACCTCCAGGAGCTCAATACAGCTCATGAGCTGCTGAACTTACCCACAACATCTCACGTGCCTCTGGCTGAATAGGCAAGGAAGAGAAGAAAGTGAAGAGAGAGAGAGAGAGATTCAACAAAGCCAACAGTGACATTTCACCAACTTCCCCTCAATACAATCTTCTCTGAAATACATGTGTTCTGTTGACCTAGGATTTTCCAAGAGTCATAAAACTGATCAGGAAAGTCCACGTGTGAGCTAAGAAAAATGCTGCGTGTTTTAAAAGAAGTATACATTTTAAAAAAATGGAAAAAAAAAAACCACAAATAAGAAAATTTTCTAGACATTATTTTGATCCTGTTTCAGCTTTCACCTCTGTAGCCAAGCCTTCTACAGACAGCAGACTCTCAACGATGAAGTACAAATGTGAAGCAAATTTCCACAAGCACAGCCTATCTTAAAAATGTCCCTTTTAAAAAAAAAAATAAAGTAATAATTTGTATTTTCTGGAGATGAAAGATAAGAACACAGACTTTGCTGGCAGCAGTCAGGGCATTCTCCACTAACTGGTCAGACCTGCCCCAAGGATAACTTCTTGCTCATGTGAACACTGAGACTAATTGAGCTGCTAGCATAAAGTAAAGACTACTCGCATGAATACATTTGCATAATCGAATCCCAAGTTGTTTTTTCCCTCCCAAGGTCACAGACCTGGTAAACATCACTTGATCTTCTCATACTTTCTGGCTGTGATTTCTAATTTAAAAAGTTAAGCAAGAAAATAAGTAAATCCAGTCTTACTCCCTCTGAGCCCTGCAATCCCTTGTCTTCTATAAAACCCAATCACGTTGAAGACCCTCCTTCTTCTGCAGTCTCTAGAAGTACCCAGCTGTAACTCCCCAAGGTTTTTGGGGGACAAGTACTTCCAAAGGCAGAGAGCTGATAAAACCCACACCCAAGGTGAACCAGCACCCACTACTGCTCCCCCAAGGGAAAGCGAGGAAGCAAGCGGAAAGCAAACCACCACAGCCTTACAGGACTCACCTATCTGCTTGTCAGCAAAAGCCACCCAGAACTGTAAGCTCAGCTGCATCCTATCCACGGGTTTACAGTTGGAGATGTTTACCCAGAAGTTGTGATACATATTTCTGGGCTCAGGCAGCAGCTCATCCTCTCGGCGCACAGTTTCCTCTGCCCCCAGCGTCTCCTCCTTGATGTTCACGTAGGCACGGCCCGTCTCGCAGGAGATGCCCATGCGGTCCTTGGAGAACCCCAGGCGGGCAACTTGCTTGCTGGGCACGTTGACGTACCAGGATACGGAGACATAAGGAGGCAGACCAGACAGCCAGTTTGGAGTCTCCAAGTAAACTTTAGATTTTGGATTTGGACTCACGGTGAAAATGCACTCATCTGTAGGAAAGGAAAGGAAAAAAAAGAATGAAAACTTAGTTTTGATACTTTATTTTCTTAAAACTTTCTCTTTCAACGCGTAAAAATATCTGTTTTTTCATCTCTGTAACAAAAAAGCATCACTTATACCTATGACCAGCAACTACAGTCACCTACATCTCAGTACAACTCACATATCATCCCTTCCACATCAGTAATTATCTCAATTAGCATATCTGCAGAATTTCCCACAAACAATTACCTGCCACATGAGTACAGTTTCTTCCTTCTTCCAGGAATAAACCATCTCATTGATTCAGATACAGATTGATCCTAGCAATGGCTTTAGGACTAGACTGTAAACAATTGAACTCTTATTTCTATTTACTCCTATGTGCTCTAACGGGCATACTGAGAGATCCACCACTGTGCAACAAAGTAGTACAAATCACTACCTTACCTTTAATATGCGGCACAAAAGACATTTTCAGATCCTGATGGTTAGAATCATTGAGGAATCCTTTACCAAATGTTTTTAAGGATATGGTGACATTATTCCTCATCTGAATCTTTTCAATGGACCCACCAGGACAGAATATGCCAAGATCCAACTGCGTCTCTGGGGTGGCACTAACGATGCTGTAACTGTAGCTTGTGTTGCACCTCTGCTCTGGGAGGTGTTGCTGAAGTTTCAAGGATGGAGACATAATTCCTATGTTGATCAGATCCGAAGCCAAGAGCTTCCAACTGAACTTATGTAGTTGAATTGGCAATTGGGTAACAGCTTTGGGCACCACAAGGGAATAGATTCTCTTTTGACACCGCTGAAGATTGATACAACCTGCAACCACAAAAACAAGTCCCAAGGGTTGCATTTCTCTTGCAGAGGAAATATCTAGGGAGAGCAAGTTCTCTTCTGTACCAGAGTACACATACACACACGGAGTATTGCCAGTTTTGTCTTACAGGCCCATATAAGCATCTACCCGAAAAAATATCCTCTCTTAGTAACCTTTACCCAGACATGAATAATTTGTACTTAAAGAGCTTTCCTTAGAAGGGTGCAGGACACCAAAGAAACTAACAGGCACAAACATACTCAATCTCTCACTAAAGATACTACTTTTCCACTTGTCACTTGCTGACCGGGACACGGTTGCAGGCTAGCCAAGGTCCAGATACATACTTTAAGACTGTCTCTACTGGTAGTAGAAATTTGGGAATTTGGGAAAATCCTACACCAAGTGGACATGCAAGTGGCTCAAGATGAATTCCTGGCGGCCGTCTTGGTCCCGCATTCTCATAGGAAGATTTATGGCTTTCCTGCTCTGTTTCCATATTTTGCTGTTTTCAGCGAGAAGATTCTTGGGTGCCTTCTGTCCTGTCCCTTCCAGGAACAGCTACACAGTTTCTATTTTTAAAGGCAGAACGATAGAGCGAAAAACAAGGTTGTCTCCAGATTCCTTGTACCCCTCCCCCAGCTGGCTGAAGCCTGGTTTCCATCCTCACTCTGACTTAAACCCCAAGCGAGAGAGGAAGCCTGGCTGATCCTTAGGAAGCAACATTAAACCACTTTTGTCATACTTATGACTTTTTCAGCTGTGATCCTCAGACGGGACAAGTCCTTGCACACGAAGGAGATCTTGTAGGTGGTACCAGACACCAGAGTCAAGACGCGGTCGCAGGTGCGCGGATCCTTGCAGATCAGGCATATCGGGTCAGACACAAATGGGACAGTGTTGGGCCACCCTTCGAAGTGTATCGTGACAGTCATATTCCACTCCTTGCTCAGGTCGACCAAATGGGTGACGTCTGCAACAAAAAACACATCCCAGAGCAATCACTGGCAGGAAGTGTGGTGTGAAGCAGAACTGCCTCCATCTCACCCTGTGAGATGAGGCGTTAGTGCTATTTCACCATTAGCTAAGAAAACATTAATTTACTTCTTTCCATAAGTGTAACATGAAGTTGGGCAGTATCATATCACTCTTCTAATGTAAAGGCTTGAGGCCTTCCACACACAAACCCCACTTCCCTACCACTTCAGCTACAACAAGGTAGCATTTACACTAGCACCTTTAGAACAGGTTAGGCCAGGACATAAGGAGCTCAGTCAACTATGTTAGATTTGTTTTCCCTAAGAGGTTTCTCTTAAAGTTACTTTTAAAGTCAGCTCTACTGATCACAGAATGGTTGACTGGAAAAAGGTTCTTCATTCTCAGATTTCTTACTAATTGCTAGATTCCCACCTCAGCTCACTTTTTATTGGCTTCAGTTTTCTGGAGCCATGCTGAAGAAAATTGTCAAAAAAAAGTAACTCAGCACATCTGGTTGTCTGAAGTCAGTTAAAGATTAAGCTAATTTAAATGCAAGTACCAATACAGCTCAAAAGAGAAAAAGTTGCCAAGTACTACACTCCAGCAGAAGCTCTGGCAGTCTTTATGAAGGTTGCTGGAGCCTTCAAAGATGCTTCTCAGAAGTCTTTTCTGTTTGGCAGATAAAATCATATAGAGATGCCGCAAATTATCCAAGTCTGTCACCACACCAGTGGGAAGGCTGAGGATCACAGCTTGCTAGGCTGCTTGGTTTCCCTCAACTGTATGACTGAAATACCATGCTGCCCTTACATTTAATTGCCCAAAAGCAAAGTTCTTCTAGAAATCTTTTCTGACTAGCTGTAAAAAGCAAACCTGAGAGCTGGTACAGTTCACCCAGACACATAAAAAGGCAAGAGATCAGGCAGAAATCTCCAAGTCACTGCCACAACCAAGCACAGAACCCAGATTGTCTACTGCAGTCTTACTCATTCTTCAGAAGTTTGGGGGATTTTTTGTCTGTTTGGGTTTGGGGTTTTTTGTATGTTCGTTGCTTGGTTGGTTTTTTTGTGGCAGCTAAACACTGGGAGGGTTAGATCAAGAAATGATTTTGATTGGAAAGAGCTATCTTTTCCTCTTAATTAATGAAAAACATTGCAGACAGTTGTGGAATACTCAAATGTTTGTGAAGCTTTGAGAATATGCAGATACCACTGCATTTTTAATAAAGAGTCATACAACGGTTTGGATTGAAAGGGACCTTAAAGATCATCTAGTTCCAAGCCCTCTGCCACAAGCAGGGACACTGCCCACTATATCAGGTTGCTCAGAGCCCCATCCAACCTGAACATCCAAGCCTTGAACATTTCCAGATTCATGTTAGACTTGCACACCACAGATAGCTTTTTTTTTTTTTGCTTTCTGGGTTTTTTTAAATTCAAGTTTCAGTACTGTCCTGAGGGCTGAATTTGAGTCTTTGATAGAACTTGCATAACTACAAAATTCCTCATGAAATCCTATAAAACCCCTAGAGAAACTACTGTTGTCTCTTAAATCCCAATGCTTTATTACTTGCATTTCATTCCATTAAATGACAACCTCTTATTTTATTTTTATGTGATTAGCACCTTGTCTACTGGCCATAAATTCTAAATTAAAATTCCTCTTTGCTTTCCAAAGTAGAAGAGAGATAAAACTGATTAACTGAATACAATGTTTTCACTCTGTCTGGCTTCCAAGGTGCAACACACAATAAATGTGAGCAAACATGATTTGCTTGACAACAGAGGATTTGCTGCTCAGGAATGGAGCAAGACTAGACAAAGAACTGAGGATTACAGGGGTGAGATGTTACAGAACCTTTCTGGATACGTGACTTAAAGGCACAGGCCATTCAGACTTCATTCTTTCTGACCTTCCTTACAAAGCCTGTCAGCAGCTCCTGCTGCAGTAGAGTCCAAAGTACGGACTTCCCTCCACCTGCTCCTCTGAAGCGAAGGCACCTTGAACTATCAGCCTCCACTATGAGCTGAGATTAAAGCTAAGAAGCCAGAGGATAATGCACTTATTTCACAGTTTGTTACCTAGCCAGGCCTTTTTTTTCTTAGTTTGTTTTTTTGTTGTTTTTTTTTGTGTGTGTGTGTGTGTGGTTTTTTTGATAGATGGTTAAGCCTGATTGAATTTGGGCCAAGAAAAGAGAAAAAACAATTTTTTTTCTTAGTGTAGCAACAAGCAAGAAACCTAAAGAACATCCAAATGTGCAGGGGATATTATAATTGGACATATTCCATGTCTAGTGTGACTTATTCACACTAGATGATGTTCAGGTTGCTCTAGCAAGCCAAAAACACCTCAGAGGAAGGAAGAAAGTAAAGAAAGAAATGCATATCGATGCCATTAGTAGTATGAAGATCATTTTACACCTCCAGTTTCACCAGTTCATGCTATGGATCCTGACCAGCCACGATAATAGGTTTCATCTACCTAAATCCGACTGCTTTATGCATACAGGAGAAACCTAGGCTTACATTTTTTAAATTATCTTTAAAACATTGAATCTTATAGCTGAAAATAAAACTGTCTGAACAATCTTGAACTTGACTTTTTTACTGGAGATCAGGCAGTGGACACGTGAGCCCAGCCAATTCCAATCAAGCATTTATGGTCCTTGCCCAATAGCGGGATGGGGCTGCAGAGAGAACAGAGCTGGAAGGAAAAGCCACCTGGTGCTCAGCTTTGTATAATGTGCCAGAACTGATACCACAGGTGTTAAATTAATTTTTCAATTACACAATGCAGGTGCTGGAAAAGAAAAGGAATTCTCCACTCACGAGCTACAGAGTAAAATCCATGATGGAGCTCTATATTCTGCTGCAAATTACAAATTGCAGCATCACTGTCTGCCTTGCTGTAACAACTGCTGGTGGCACCCAGGGAGGCAAAACAGGCTGCAGTGTTGCTTGGCAACCCACCCCCTCAAACTCTAGGAGTATCCAAAGTTCAAGAAAAATGACAAAGCACATCACTGATCTTCCTCGTGGTGCTCAAGCCGAGGAAGCAAAAGCAAGGGCAGGGATGGGCAGGTACTTACTCTCATCAATCTGCGGATGCTGAACAACCACTTGGAAGAGCAAGCGGAGGATGCCTGGGTTCTGAGCGTCCTGATCACAGCCCTGCAGGGACAGGTTGAAACTGCCAGCAATATTGGCAGGCTGGCTGTCAGTCAGCTTGAACACCTCTGGGTTGCTGAGGGAGCCGGGGAGGTAGTACTCCACTCTCTCCTCTTTCCTTTCGCAGTTGGAGAGGCTGTAGTTGTGGAAAAAGACACTTGCTCTCATGTTGGAAGGAATCACAAACTGCCACGTCATGAGCTCATCTTCTGGAAAGCCCAGTGGGTAGTTTGGGGACATCAGGGTGACTGAAGACTCTCCCTTCAAAATGGATTCAATAATGCATAACCCTAAAACACAGGGGCAGGGGGGGAAACATACGAAAGAAGTTGCAAGTAAAGAAGACACACTGGCACACGTAGCACCCCATTAGCAAAGCATTCTTATTTTGACAGTGAGATCATCCACTCCAGCTACAGGTTAGGTTATTACAAAACCTCCAGAGTAAAACATATACTCAAGTTGATGCGTTTGTCTTCAAATTATAGAAAAGGTAAGGGTTACATTCATGTTGTACTTAGTGGGTTCACCTGTGAAGAATGTGGACAGCCTTTACCTCTTGGAAAGGAAATATGCTAGTTCCTACTTCTACTCCTGGATTTACAAGAGCAAACATGCAACCTGATAATTGCTTCTGCTTCAGTGTGTTTCAGGAAACAAAAGATGCGAGCTTTAATACCAGCACTGAGCTCTCCATCCAAAAACCTCCCAGATCTAACAAAGGCACTCCAGCAAAGAGCCTCAAGTACGCATGATAAAACATGAATGTGAACCATGGAGACTATGTAAGACATTTCATGCTTGGATGACTCCTGACAGCATCAAATTGGGTAGACAGAGATTACAGCCCTGCTCTAGGACTCCAGCAACCATGTGCAGCTGCAAGGAGTGCCAGGAGTTAGAAAAACTCATGTTCTAGAAGCCTGAAACTGAACCGGGTCCCTTCTGTAACTGTTGGCAGAGTTCAAGCGGAGAGCAAGAACATCTCTCAAAGAGGACTCGTCACGAGATTGCAAATTAAACCACTGATTGCTATATAGCATTCCAGGTATTAAAAAGATTATTACACTATTGTTTATGCTACTGTGCAGGTTGAAACAAATAGCTGTATTTATGCAGCTTTGTGTGCCTTCCAGGAACTGCTCCTCCTTTTCCCATCTTGCTCTCCTGAAGAGAAGCAGCAATTTGAGACTCTTGCAAGTTAAGGTAGCTTTAGTTAAAAATAAACCAACCAAACTACACACTGCAACCAGCAAACAACTCTCTTGGCTCATTCTAGTCTCACCTCGCTGAAGCAACAGAGTGAGTGTGCTTAAGTTTTAGGAAGTTTAAACATATTGAAAACTAGTATGGTGCCCCAAAAGCAGCAACACAACAGTTTTCATAATTGTTCAATCAGCTAAGATATTTTGACCCCAGAAGAGCTACCAACCTAAAAAAAAAAAGACAAACAGCTTTTAGAAAACAGTAAGACAACAGAAATTAGGGATAACACACTGAAACTCAAATCACCTGAGAAGAAAGGTTTAAAGAACTGTCCCACAATCTGCACAAGGTGATGACAAGTGAGGAAACACTACTCCACACTTACGTTTAATGGAAGCCCTGTTAGCTATGCTGAAGCCTGAGGTGGTGAGAGGTGAGTCCCAAGGGAGGTGCAGAGACATGATGACTCCTCCCAGCAGCTTGACGCCAGACACTGAGCCATTCCTGCAGAAGGTTCCAATGTTGACTGTGGCCTTGTCAATACAGCTGTTGATGTTGTAGCTAGTGAAATCTGGGCACATCTCTCCTGGTTCAATCTGCCTTAGCCACGGGGTAGAAAATCTCAGTTCAAGTCCAGCCTTTGTACTCGCCTTCACATCCCAGATGAAAGTCCTGTTAAGGCGAGGTAGCCCTGGTGGGTACAGATGAACATCTCCAAAGGGACAGGGGCCTGACACACAGTCTAAATGCAGAGAGAGAACAGCCATGATACACTCTGGAAAGCACTCAAGTAAACAAGGAATTTGATACTTTCCTCTTCATTGCTGTTTTCACAGTTCTTAGGTTGAATTTAACTTCCCTTCTACAGGCATTAAAAGACACTCCTATAACACGGTCACATGCAGGAGTCCCAGGCCATAGAGTAGACAGGATTAACCTGCTTTAGCTAGGCTGACTAATAGAGGGGATTAAATGTCTCTACTATTCCTGCCTTGTTTGCTGAAGAATTTAGAAAGTACTTAGTGAATAGGGTAGAGGGCTGAATGGGCAAAAGGGAGAAACACAATGTCAGGAGAGCTGGAAATCACGGATCTAGAGAACCGATTCTATCCCACCTCTCTGAGAGTTCCTGGCAAATCATTCATTCATCTTTACATTTTCCACTGCTTGCTATGAACTTTACTTTCGTTTCCCTGGTGCCCTGATAAACAAGCTGGGCCCCATATTTCACAGAAGTGGTGAGCAAGAACAGCTGCCACTGCAGGATTCTGGGAAGAACTTAGAAAACTTTTCTCTGGAAAACCCAAATGAGTGGTTTTTCAAGCAAAACACTAAATATAAGCATACTTTAATCTATGTGAAGGCTCCAACTTAGAAGAAGAAATATCACAACTGCATCTTATAAATATATCATTAACATAACATTACTCTTTGCATGAATCATGAAAGAAACTCCTAAATGTGCAAAGAACTGTCCTTGAACACTACCCCAGTGAAGTCTGGGATCTTGTTGAGAAGTAGCAGGTTTGTGCTATTAAGGAGTATGTTAATGACATACACCAGGTGTAACATCTAAAGAAAACAAAGCTTTAGTTGCAACATTTCCAAATGTTCAGTTTCTTTACTTCTATAATGATCACCAAACACAAAAAAACACATGCATGTCTACAATGTTTCTGTTACTCTTACAGACACCATCAAGATGTTCAACAAATAATGTTGGTAATATATCATTATCAGTGCTCAAGACGTTTTTCATAGGACAGATAATTTGATGATGGGCTTATAAACTGTGGAAAAAGGGAAGGCAGCAAGGAATTGATGCAACAAACTACCATTTAACTGTTTCCAGCACAGCAATGTTGATATTAATTCTGCTAGCCATAACACAGGCTTCTTTAACTCGCACAGTTTCAGTAATCTAAGGTTATTTATCAGTATTCAAAATTTTCTCCTTACACAAGATGACAGGGGACACCTTAATACAGTAACAGGAAAAAATGGCACATGGTTTTACTGGAGGAAAGTTATCACTGGGGGAAAAATTTAAAAACTGTATCTTACCAATATTTTTCTGAACTTCCATGATGAAATACTTCTCTGGAGTACTACAAGTGAAGGTAAAAGTCACATTATCCCCAGGCTTTATCTTGAGTTCAGTCCTGGTGGAGTACTTAACATGAATGAAACACCTTGGTGAGAAACCATGTCTCTGTTTAATCGTAACGATAACGTTGTCCACTGTACGAAGAGAGACCGTAAAGGAAGCTAAGGGGAAAAAAAAGATGTTCTGTACTAGCATGTATGAATATCACCACCCTCTCCACACATCCCCACAGATGCTACATTGTCAAAACAAAGATTTGCATCCAAGTTCTCAAAAGTCTCTGGTGCTGGAGCTGCAGAAAATGCCTCAGTTCTTCCAGCCCAGCACAAGACAATACAGAAATATACTTGCTGCATGTGCCCAGAGAGATGTATACATGGAATCTGTGTAGGGCCAGTTCTGCTCCAGGTCACCTTCATCAGCGTTATTTATTTCACACTTAAAAAATGGTTCAGCTATTCCTTTCAAATTTCTGTTGTCCCAATTTTGGGTTCCAGTCTGTTATGCCCTTCATAGGGCCTGTTTCCTTTCTGAATGCACCCATGAAGTTGTGACTCAATCAGTGAAGATTATTTGGCAGTCAAACAACCAAGCGAGCCTTAATTGCACCTGATGGTAATAGGAGAATTTCTGGGTATGCCTCAAAAATTACTGCAGACAGGACAAGGTACTCCAGTGACTCCAAAAGCACAAACCAACAAAAATGTAAGAGTTTCAGCTATTCCGAATTATTAACGCGGCCTTAGCTACTGCACAGTTTGTTTTATAGTATGAGAAAGCTTTCCAGTCCTCAAGACAAGAAACAAACAAGCAAGAAATATTTTCCTACACATGACAGGGTTGGCTGATAGATACATGTGGTCATGACCCTCTCTTACCCTCCCCAACTTTTACAACTGATTCCTTGAAGGTACGGGGCATCCATGCAATGCCCCTCAGCAGCACAGAAGGCATATGTGACCTGGAATTGACTGTGTGTGCTTGGATACCTCCTCTCCATCCCTGTCACATCCATCATAGACTTAACAGCTTTTGGGGAATTTATAAAAGCCTCAATCTCCACATATTTCACGCCATCTTCAAGCACTAACAAATGAAGGAGCAGTTCTCGCAGAAACTGGTTGTTGAATAATCTTCTCATATTGGACAGATTGCAGTTTATCAACAAATGGACCAGACCTGAGTGTCTTCTAAAAACATACATAGAATACAAGTCACCAAGGAGCATCAGCTGGACATTCAAGATAACTAGAAAAGTTATTAGCATCAGTTTGATGCTTAGCAAACACTGAACCCAGTCCTGGCTGAAGGGAGTAAAGTTTGCTTTGAAGGCAACCATATCCCAGTCTCAGGTGAAAGTCTGAGGACATGTCAGTTGGTAAGTTTTCTGCCATATGTTGTCACTACTCTCCCTTCCTATGTCAGTGTAGGAAAGATAAAAATCACAGTGTCTCCAACACTTGTGCCTTTTGTGTTTATGGGGAAAAAAAATAAATATGTATATAAAAAACTCCAAGAGATCTAGAAATAAGGCTATCCTAAATTCTGTTCAAAAAGGTCTGTTCCTTGAGTGGCATATCATCCATGGTTGCATGACAAACCTCTGCCCACAGGCCAGGCTGGGAATCCTCTTGCTCATTAACCTCAGTAGAGATTTACCCTAATGAACCCACCAGCCTGACACCCTGGGAGAGCCCCTGCAGCCATTCTCATTGCCAGGCAGGGTGTCAAGAAAGGTGTGAGAGAACAGCTGGCTCAGAAATGCCACCATCCCTTGAGCACCTCAACATCCAGCCTGGTCCATGCCAGCTGCTGCCACCGTGACAGTGATAAGGAGGCTGGCCCAAGAACAAAGGCTCACCTGGTGAGCACTGCAGGGCTGAGCACACCTTGGGAACCCACAATGGGCAGAGCCCCTCCCAGGGCAGATGAGCACACCAGGGACCCTCAACCAACCTACCAACCAACTTAAAAACTTCAGCTGTTGCAGCTACAGAGAGAAGAGTACAGCATTAGTGACTCAAGTTCCCACAAAAATCACCTGTCCTATTTTTAAACCTCCCTTTTAAAATCTCCTGATTTTTTAATAGCAATTTCATGGTTTTGCAGGGCCTCAGTTCTTGCAGTGTTTTGTGAAAGCCCTGGAGATCGAGTAGTCAGTGTGGGTTTCCATCCTTCCCTGCCACTGGGAACATTGCAGCAACAGGTTTACCAACACCAGGCATCAAAAGTCTCACTGCCAGGGGGAGTAGGGCAGAGAAGACTACTCAAAGAGACACCCCAGGATGCTTTTATTTGAGTTTTGTTGGTCTTGAGACTTTTTCCAGACTTGCTGGCTTTGCTAAATCAATTTTGGGGTCAAAAGACTCAGCAAGCCCTTGAAACTGCCTCGTGTATTTGCTGCCAGGATCCAAGGCTTTAAATTAAAACCTCAAACACCACGAGGCTTGCCAAGTTTCTGCACATACTTCTAATGATAAGCTTAACAATCCTCTATATCTTTAGTAAGAACCTGGTTGGTCACTTAGTAACTTTTCCTACAGCTTTTCAGTGACAGGACAGCCCCCTGCCCCAGGCACTGAACTCCCTGGCCTCTTCCAACTGGCTGGCACTACTTGACATCTGCATTTCTGCCTTAGAAATGCTTTCACAGAAGTTCTCAATCTGGGTTTTCCTAAGGAAAAAGAAAAAAGAAAGAAAGAAAAAAAAAAAAGAAAAAGAAGACAACCACCCAGGCTAGGAACTGCCTTGTGCAATGACTTGCCAAGCACACGGGACAATTGCTGGGGCAATGTCCATGGGGTGGGGAGGAGAAAACAGCAAACCAAATCCAGGAACCAGAGGTGCTCCTCCTCATGCTTCAGCAGAAGCAGGAAGCAGTTTTCAGGTGAAAAAGTGGAATAACTACTTCCAGCCTAGCCCAGAGTTTTGTCTTCCATGCACCATATGCTTTTTGGGGTTTTTGGGGTGTTTTACTTACCATGTTTCATGCAAATATCCTTTGACTGTGATGTCATTTTCCTGATGTTTATGTCATCCAGATATGAAGCATTAATGGATTAATATCAATAGTAAATAACTACCAGAAAAACAAGTTTCCTTGCATACAGTATTTGTCACATTCATCTACAGCTTCTAACTATAGACTGAAAAATCTGTTCCACACTTTATTGTCAAACAGTTATCACTGGCCCTTCTCCCATCCCTGGGACAGCACCATCATATGGCCAACCCAGCAGGATGGGGAAACACACCAGGGTCACTAACAGACAGCACTTCTGCACTAAATGCTCACGCACAGCTCTAAGACCATTTTTAGTCATGAGGATTAATCTTAAGCATAACCTTAAGCATAGGACTGGCTTTAAACTAAAACAAATGCATGCCCTCAGCTGAAACCAAGGTACAGATTTTTTTTACATTTTGAACAGCATCATGAAATAACCACAGCTTTCCTACAAGGGTCAAAACCATATTCCCCAGCCCTTGGAAGACCTCACTTCTGCTACCTGAGTTTTTTTTGCCGCCCACCTCTTTTCCAGACTTCATGACTACGTAGTCAGTCATTTGAACTCCTTGAAAGAAGATAAAATCCTTGTCAGCTCAGTATCACTTTCCGGCATGAATGTGGCCCATTCCTCAGCTTCCCAAAACACAACCTGCCCAAAATTGCCAAAGTGACACCACGATCAGCATCCCAGGAGCCAGCAAGGATGCAGACTGCACAGCCGATTAGGCTCAGCCGAGCTGTCTGCTAGAAGCCCACGCAAGGACAGATACCAAGATGCATTATAGCACAACCAAACATTTGCTAAGATGAAACTGCACAGGTAATTTTGGCCAAAGAATAAGAGCACAGTGCCATCATGTCAACAGCAAAGATGTGCTAGGCAACTGTCAACTTTCTATCAAATCAACTATCAAATCTCATTGTCCCAGGAAAAGTGGAAAAGATGAAACTCACAGAAAGTATAAGCAGTGATCCTAAAGTCACCAAAAATAAACGATCAAACAGCTAAAACCCCCCAAAATACAGCCACATACATGCAGCACAATAGACAGACTACTTAAAACAACTTTTATTGCAGAGCATTTATAAACACAAGTGAGTATCTCCATGACTCACGCTGATCTGTCATTGTCTATGATTCCCACTGCATGCCTTTTTATTAGGGCTACCAGTAACCATACATGTTTCTTGGTAAAGAAAGCATTTCCACGCCTCACTAATGCTGCACAGGGATGACACACAGGATATCCAAACCAACAAGAGGAAGTATTGCTGAAGATGGACCTACGCTCTGTCTACACAATTAAATTGTTGGTCTAAATGATACCAGAGATGAATCCTCTGGTCCTGAGCTGGTTCACAGGCTGACAGACATCCAATCTCACCCTATTTTTTTTTTCCTCTAAGCAATAACACTTTTGCAGCCTCCCAGCTATTAACTGCTTTAATCTCCATCTGCATCTTCCCTGCTGCAACTAGATTTTCCTACTGCTCATCCTCATTTAAGACTGCACCTTCACAGCACTTGTCTTATCACAGTGCTCCTTTATCTCTCAATAATGCACCTCCTGGTGCAAACACACCTTGACTATCTTTTTCTCAACAGTATGATTTTCCCAAATTTTTAATTGATTCTGTCGCTCAGAGCTCTGCAACCTGAGTCATAAACAAACTGCACAGTATAAACCAAGTTAGATTACTCCTTAGAGCTTAGCTTAAATTTCTCTGCTGTGGTTGCACCTAACACTAATGCCCTAGTATTTTTCAGTATGTCTATATAAATGTCAAAAGGACAAGACAGGAATGCAACATAGAAGACATCTGGTGGAAAGCAGGACCAGTAGCACCCAGAGAGAATGCACACATATGGTCAGGGAAAGGACTTGGCAGGACAGCAGTTTTTATGGCTATGTACAGTGCCTTGCTATGCAAAGCAGAGCAAGAACAAAGTCCAACTAGTTTTGGCTAGAGGGATGTATTTTATTGCAGCAGTTTATCCATAAGGATCTACTGATTGTTTAGCAACTTCACTGGATGGATTAAAACAACCAAAAACCCCCCAACCGACCAAAAAAACAAAGCCCACGAGAGTCACCAACATTAAAACCCCAACAAACCCAGATGTTAATTTATCCCAAAAATAGCATACAGAAAGTTTTCATTTGCTCATTATGGTTATGTCGTGGGCTTTGTTCACCTCAGCCATTTCTAACAGAAACCAGTTGGATGGGGGTGACTCAGACACCACTCAGGAGCTGGAGGAGCCAGGCTGCTGCAGAAGACAAGCAGCGGCAACACTCGCTCCGGATGTGAAGTATCTGGATCCAAACCTCTGTTCTGCCCGAGGGGCATCTGAATCCACACGATCAACACTCCTCTCTGGAAAACAGGCTCTTCCACCTCTTCTCTCCTGCCACTGCCTCGGGACAGGGATAGCATGTGGCAGTGCTTCCCTCCATGGCACGGGAGGTTCTGAGGAGCTCACCACCTCTTCTGAGCACTTGGAGAGTTGCTGGCCCACAGACCCGTGCATAGCCTGCTGAGGTTGTTCCACTACACATAACCTACCACCGAGGTCATGGCAAGACTGCAGGCAGCAAGGAGTACAACTCAAAAACACAGCGACCCCACCACAAGCAGAACAATTTGTGTTCCAAGCCATATGAACTCCTGTTGCTGATCTAATGTACAGCCCTGGTGCAGGAGATGGCAGAATCAGTAGGATGTGTTCAGAGCGATCCATCCAAAACACCCTTTGCCTAGCAAGAGACCTCAAGTCTGTCTCCCACATGGTGGGGACTGCACCTGCATCCCAAGCAAATGCTCCGATGGCTCAGCTGAAAGAGATGAAACCAAGACTACATTTGATCATCCATTTCTCCATCACCTCCAACACAGTTACTGCACAGTT